GACAGCGCTTTGAAGAACTGCGATTAGGTGTCTGCGCTAGGACTAATGGTAAGCCCAGGAGAAGGGAGAAACTCAGGGAGAACTAGAAATGTTCACATCCTACCTCCTTCCGTAGGTTGTCAAATAATGACAAAAAAGACAAAATAGGTGGAGTAACTTGAATTATGGTTATCCCAGTGGGGTCAAAGCAATCGCCAGATGTACTTCTGATAGGGTACACTCCGAAACCGCTGTTTCGGAAGAATGTCGTTGTCTTCCAGAAAAACTCCCAACTAGCTTGACTGCCAAGGAAGCGAGGTGCGGTGCTTTCACGAAGAAAGGGCGCTGATTGGAGCAGTAAAAGCGCTCCGCCCCAAAGCTTCCATCCACTAGTTTAGTTGGTGATTTGGACGAGCTGTGTTGCCAGCAGCGGCACAACTGGAGCAACTCGACTTGAACATGGATTGGCATGGTGCCATTGAAACGCGTTGCGGTAAACTTGCCCAACGGTTGGCGTCTTAACCACTGCCCGTCCTTAAGCGAGGATCAACGACCTGACAAGAGGTTCCGTTTTGCGTTTTCTTGTTTTCTCGCTGCAGTGGCGCACTATTGGACATCTCCATGTTCCCCAGCCCCCCTCCCTCCTGCCTTTGATTCCGAATGAATGTTCACCTACCACTCGATGCATGTGCTGGTTGTGAATTCGGAGGATCCTTGTTGTAAACTTTTTCCTCTGAAAATCGATTTTCTTTATTTTGCCTCCAAGTCAATCGAAATTAGTTAGTTTGTCAAGCTAAGAACTTATCAGCTGTCGTCTTAACTTTTAATCTTTATCATGAGAATCAGGAATAACTGTCTATTAGTAACATTCCTGTCTCCTTCCCGAACGGCCTTTTAGGTCACTGCAGCGTTTTACGATTACCGTATGAAGCACAGCCACGGAATTTTAGATTCTGATTTTAGTGCATATTCGGCATTCGCTGAGACTCCACTATCGCTAGCCTCTACCGATTTTTCCCACATCTATGAGACGTCCTGGAACTGGGGTCAACTGATTCAGTACGACCCACCCTCCCCTATCCACCAAACCGCAGCAATAGCCTTAGTATAGCTCCAAATGCAGCAATATGACCCCGTCCATTACCCTCCATAACTGCCCTTGAGGCGAAGGGGAGGCGGGGTAAATGAGCGAAGGCAAATGCTGTAATTTCACGCCTTATCGTGAAAATTTTTCCGAAACTCACTCGCATCAATTTCATGAGGTTTTTTTTTCTAAACGTTTGATTTTACATGGATCCCTGGAGCAGAGACCCTTACAAGGGAGGTCTTCAGGGTGTGCCAAGCTTTTTCAAAACGGTTTTTGCATGATATAGGGGCACATGCGGGAACCACAGAACCATGGTTCATTTTTCCTGAACGGCCCTCTGAATACCAGAAAAGGGGGTCCCTAGTTCGATTCCTCGTGGTGACAAATTTTTGCATTTCGAGTTGACGTTTCAAAATTCGCGCAAAATGGAGTTAGCATGAATAATTAGTACCATATTCATGATTAGGACCGTCAGTAACCCTTACAAAAAGACTTTGATTAAAAACTGGTGAAAAAGGTGTGACACCAAGCGGCCCCACTGTGGTGTCACACCTTTTTCACCAGTTTTTAATCAAAGTCTATTTAAGGGTTACTGACGGTCCTAATCATGAATATGGTACTAATTATTCATGCTAACTCCATTTTGCGCGAATTTTGAAACGTCAATGAAAT